ATGTCCAATGCTGCCGGCGCCGGTAAAGTCCTCGGGGGTAGCTTCCGCTACGGCGGCGGCTTCCGCGGCGAATGAGCGCACGGGAACATGGCGGCTGGTGGGAACTTGGTTCGCGAGCGTGCTTCCGCGGAGAAGGGCGTTAGCGATGGCGGGGGAGCGGGAGGCGGGGGTGGAAGCGGCGGAGGAGAAGAAGCGATTGGCGGTGGTTCCGTACTTGGTGGGTTGCGAGGATCGGCGGGATGCGGAGCGGAGAGCCGCGAGGAGCGCTCGTCTGGAAGCCATGGTGGGACGCCGAACAGCGACCTGGAAAAACTCAAGTCGCAAATGACAAAGAAAATAAGACTAGGAGGTTCTCTCAATACCTAGCCCGAGGGCGGGGGATGGGGGGAACGGCGGGGGAGAGAGGAAGGACTGGGGAAGATGCGGAGGGGGGAGCAGGGGAAGGTAATCCGCAAAACGAAACCCGGGGGAACGAGGATTTGGGGAACGGGATATGGGGACTGGGCTGTGGAGAGAGTTAGGCATGGGAAGCGGGAATGGGGAAGAAAGGTTCGGGGGTTTGGGAAAAGAAAGGTGTACAAATGTCATTGGTCTGTAGTACGAATGATTCAATACGGTTATATATAACTATACCGTGGCACAGAAACCAACCTGAGTTTTGTAGGTCCCAAGTGGTTCAGCTCAGTTGAAAAAGGCGGAAAGGCCCTTCGCCTGGGGCGGGATGGCGCAGAGAGGCTTGGGCAGGCTGGGGATAGTCACACGGGCGGGTGGAAACCTGTGATTACAATGAAGCGCGTATATCGCATCCACAGAAAGCTAGAAATCCAAACAGAGCTCTACATGATTAGTATCAATTAAAATGTCGGGCTTAATGATAACATTTATACCCTTCTGCTAACAAAGGTGAGAATTCCTGTACGGCTGTAATTTAGAATCCACATGGTTTATTGCAGTTTTTCATTGTCATTTCTAGCCACTTGGACTACAAATCCTATTAATGAATCGTCTCCACCATTAGATACGAAACATGGGGTTATTTAAAAAGAAGAAACTGTATTTTTGTATGTGAAAAAAAAACTCCATACGATCCTTATGTTTTCGGACACAATTTAATAGCAACGGGACGCGTGGACCGATGCGTTAAAACAGTCTTATATTTACCGTTGGCGTAATTTTCTTACACAATTATCAAGACAAGCTGGTTATCTAAATGCATGTTTCCCAATTCATCACTACACATATATGAATGATGTGTGAAAGCAGACTTTGTTTATAGGTGGTTAATAAGATAAGGAACATATGAAGTAGAAGCTGAAGTGCTATCCACAACATCCTGAGCTTTTCTGTAATGTTATTGGGTAATTACCTTCTGTGTAGCCAATATCCAGCCCGCTGACGAACGCAGTGCGTCACGCGGCTCGATGGTACCCATTAGATTTTTCGATCCCCTTCGTCATACCCATTATCCCCGCGTGGGAACCTTTGTCCATACGTGGTCACAGTCAACACCCATCGAATTACCTGACTGGTACCACGACATTTCACCCGAACTGTACACCGTACAAAAAGGTTTGAATCAGCCATAATGCATTTTTCAGTATATTGTACTAGCCTTTACAATTTCAAAGAAGATAGAAACCCGAGTTGCCACCTAATCGGGTCCATATGCTAAACGTAATATCTAAACCATAAACGCGAAAACATAAGAATAACAGAGTGCACAGAAATTGTAGAAACAAAATTGAGAAATTCACAATATATCGGATACAAAATATGTTACATACCGAAATGATGATTTTTATGCATCAGTGTATAACAAAAATTCACTTTAACAAAAACGATATGTTCCATGCATAAGATATATAACTAATTTCAATGATAAATTTTCTTGTTTGCTTCTGATAAAATCATAGAAAAAGGTGATAAAATAATGTGCATACAACCTTATAACATATGTTCCATATTTTTTATTTTTCTGTTTGCAAAGCAACCATTTATTATTGATATAACCTAATTTTATCAACAATATTTTAGATATTGTCTATTATTTATAAGATAATAAAAAACAATTTTCATTGATACAGCTTTCTGCATTTAGAAACCAACAGTAAGTTAAAATCAGTAGCGTTTACATGTGAAATATCTATAGTACTGGCTTTTTATCCCCTATATAGTCTCAAAAGGATATAGTTTTTCCATTTTTGAGAATATATAAATTACATTTTGAAGATCCAGCATATGATAGATTCTAATATAGGACTATTATTCTAGGATTTTGCACTTTGATTTATCTGGACGCTTTTTTTACTGGACCTTTTAGCTTGACACATAAAGGGTTTGGCATATTAACCCGATTGGGTGCCAATTCGGGTTTCTGACTCTTTAGAGCTTGTAAGCGCTAGTACAGTTTACTGAAAAACACATTATGGCTGAGTCAAACCTTGTTGTACGGTGTACAGTTCGGTTAAAATGTCGCGGTTCAATCAGGGAAAGCGATGAGTGTTTGACTGTGACCACGTAGGGACAAAGGTTACCACGCAGGGATAATGGGATCGGATGATCTGATGGGTACCATCGACCACGTGGCAAACTGCAGACGTCAGCGGGCTCAATTTCGGTTACCAAGGATGTAATTCTGTCCGGCCATTACCTCCGATACTCAAACTTTGCCTGAGCGCGTTCTCAGGTGTAATCACCAACAGAAACACGGTTTCGTGATATAGTAGGAAGCTTTTCTGGTTCATATCTGTGTACAGTCACTCAAAACAAAATTGCAGCGCTTGAAAAAAAATATATATAAAACCCGTAACGAACCTAAATGATTTCCGGGAAGGATCAACCCTAAATACCGAAAGCCGCCCAATATTTTGGAAAACATATTGCAACCCACTTGACAAAAAAAAAACCCAATCGGAAAGGGATGCGACTCGGGAGGCATCAAACCTAAAAACAATTTCCATTCTCGTGTTTAGGGTTGACCCCTCTCGAAAATGCATCCAGGTTCCCTAGGGGTTTTTTTTTCTGCCATGCCCGAATAGTTCTCGGTAGCGTCGTCTAGTGCTTTTGGTAGCTTTGTTTAGCGGTCGGTTGCGCTACTGAGCACCACCAAGTGAATTATATGGGCTTCATTCTCTTACTACCTAAATTTCCGTTCTTATATCCAAGTCGGGAGGGTAAACTAGATGGTTCTGTTTTTGTCACTTCCTAATGAGTTCGACCAGTGTGAGAAATGTGACAATAAAGCGACGACTAATCAATGTTGAGAAAGTCCAGGTTGATTACACCTGAAAACGTGCTCAGGAAAAATCTGAGTATCGGAGATAATGGCCGAATTCTGTCGGAAAAAGAGATGTCGGCGGCGCCTCTTCCAAGCAACAAGCATCGTTCCCAACCAATCGGTGCATAGCTCGTGTTTTTCTTACCTGTGGGCAGGGTTGAATTCGGCGTCGATTGGAAGAAAACATTGGTTGTTTTCTCATTCCAGGGTGACGTGTACAGTGCACTGCAACGCTGTCCTTTCATGGTCTTCATGAGAAGTGTGTGTCCGTCAACATGCTTTATGACGAAGGGTGACGTGTGTTTTTTTCTGTGCCTTTCCAAAGCTGACGGGCGACGTTTGAATGACATGAAACTTCCTGGCTCCAGCTGCTGTGCTGCGTTCCCATCCCATCCCATCCCACAGTGGTTGAACAGCAGGATTTGATATTGACACGCGGAAGGGCAGGATTGTTGCCCTTGTCCAGGCTGGCGTACTGGATGTCAGCTTCATTCAGTCACTGGATATCAATCTTCGCGAGATGCGTCGCAGCCAGTCGTCGCATTTTGGGAAGGAGTGTCACAGCCTCGCCAGGATGCAAACTGATGCGAACTGGCTGTACTGTACCGCTCTACCGCGTGAAGCCAAGCGCGATGCGCATCGACAGCTAAGGCGGTTCGATTTTATTTGTCTGCATGACCTGTGTGGGAAGGAGGGCGAATTGCAATGCACGGCACAGGCGAGGGCTTCGGGAAGGGCTCGGGATAAGCTCCCTTAGATCGCATTCCTGCGCTTGGAAACTATCTGAAGTCCAGCCACGCGGTTTGCAATTCAGAAATTGACATTTCAATGTTGCACCACGCGGTCCGTGATTTGGACACTTTGGCTTCAGTCGGCCAACGAACGTGCGACCATCATGCACGTCACTTGTTGCATCGTGCGATGCTACCAACCAGTGATTTGATCCTAAAGTGTTGCGATGCTGGCACATTCCTCATTTTCGCTGCCCAACCCTAGTAATCATTCAATCGCCTGCACATATTCCAAACACGCATCCCGAAATTAACCCGCTTATTTGTTTTCCATTGCCTGAAAGTCATTGTTGGCCGTTAGCATTACCGCTCGAACGAATGTTGATGTTCGTCTTTTTTGTGTCGCGTCATTCTCTGTTTGGCTGCGAACCCGAACAGCATTTCAACGCTGTTGACGACAGTTCTCGCCAGCCAGGCCCTGCCAAATGTCCAAGGTGGGGTACTGCCCCACACGGACGCCATCCTCACGCCAAAATCCTTCAGGTGGGCAAACTTCGGATGGTGTCCGTTCGCAGGAATGCGATCTTTCCGAACAGGGCCGCTTTTTGTCAAAGCAGACTGGCCTTTCTTCGTGAATAAATAGCCTCAGTGTGTTGCACTCTTCAAATCAACACCAGTCGTATTGGTGCTCCGTGACAGGTAAAGAACTGCCCTAGCCTTAGTTCACGAGCACGAAACAGAGCACAGCATTCAGCACCAGCAGCCACAGGCTCTACTAAACCAAGTCTACAAACTCCGCCAAATTGCCCTATTACTGAAAGCTACCTGACATCTCCTATTCCCACCGTCCCATTCACCAACCAAGTCTTCAAGCTCCGCCGCATTGCCCTTTCACACGCTACATCTCCCATTCGCACCGTCCCATTCGCACCGTCCCATTCGCACCGTCCCATTCGCACCGTCCCATTCACTCCCCTTCAACTTCAACATCCATGGCGAGCAAGATCTGCACCGTGAGAGCATCTGATCCGTCCATCGAGCAGCGATTCAACATGCTCACTGGCGGCGCTGGGCTGGGAATGGCCGCGGAACTACTCGGCGGCGGAAAACCGCCAAGCGCAGCGAACAGACCTTCCCGCGGCGGCACGAGCGGCGCGACATGCGGCGTTATTCAACCAGGCGTCATCATCAGCGGTACTGGTAACGGCCGCCTCGCGGGCGGTAGTAGTAGTACTGTCGGCGGGAAAGCTAGCGGCGGCGCGGTGAACAATATGACCGGCCTGCGATCGGCACTGGAAGCGGTCGTGGAGGAGAGCGGATGGGAGACCGACAGCTCCGCGTCGCACGGATGGGAGGAGCTGGAGCGAACGTGCGCCGCGCTGGATTCGAACAACGTGCAGATCGACTGCATTGATATCACCAACATGCTGGAAGAAGGCGTCGCCCCCGCCGACAGCGATGCTAGTAGCGACGACGACAATAACGAGGATAGAGGTACTGCTGGCAGCAGTGACGACGACTCAACGAACGCCGCCGAAGAATGCACCCCCCATTTTTCCACCGCCGCCAACCCCGCCGCCCGCCCCGCCTCGCGCCTGAGCCATACCTTCACCCCCATCAACCGCCCTGACGTGGCAGCAGCGGCGGAGAGTCCTCCGCCGAATCTGCAGCGGCGGAGCTCTTTCTCCGGCGCAACCAAGTCGGTCCGCCTTGGAAATGCCAGCGAAAACAACCACGCGGACAGAGCAGCGGCACAGAATAGCCACGGCGGAAAGTACATCTACAGCGGAAAGTACTACAGCGGAAGCCACAGCCAAGCCCAGTACCACTCTAATAACTCGCCTCGACTTAAGGGGAGCCCTGCACGATCCAGTTCTGAAGGTTATGCCACCCACAGCGGCCCCCTCAGCGGCGGCGCTCACAGCGGAAGCCCCCTTTGCGGCGCCCCCCAGAGCGAAAGCCCACACAGCGGCCCCTTGCGGCACGGATTCGGATCGACGAGCAGCCTGAACAGCAGCCACAGCGGCAGCGGGAGCCCCATTTGCGGCGCCCCTCGGAGCGAAAGTCTCCCCAGCGGGCCTCACACCGGCCCTCACAGCGGCGGCCCCTTGCGGCACGGGTTTGGTTCGACGAGCAGCCTAAACAGCAGCCACAGCGGAAGCATGGAGCTCGGCAGCAGCTACGGAAGCAGCTTCGGCGGGAGTAGCTTCGGCGGAAGCAGCGGTGATCTCAGCAGCGGCAGCTGTGGTACTGGATATGGGGGGGCTGAGTCCAAGCCGTCGCCTTGCCACGTGCTCCTGCGGCAGTGCAGTGCAGGAGACGTGTCACCTCTCGTGTTACACACGCCTAGTGTGAATGTTGCAACAGCAGCGCGCCTCCGTCCCACAAGTAGTGGGGAATCCGATGCAAGTGGGGAAGCTCGACTTGTGCAGGCTGTTCAAAATAAAGGGGCAACTGTTGCTCCTGCTGCTGCTGCTCCTGCTTCTGCTGCTGGCAGTTGCAAACCCGGTGGCATGACAGTGATGGTAAAGAACGGGGCTAACCCTGCTGCTATAGAGGCGTATTTCAAGCTCAAGGCTCAACGAGGAAGATAAATAAGGGTACCAGCTACATTAGTTTGACTTGTTTTATACATGTTTGTATGCGCGTGTGTATTGGTAGTGTGGGGTTTTTTTTTCTGTACGTACCGCGCACATCTTGAATGCAAAATTAGATACAAATGTTCCTTCCTTGCTGTGTTGTTGAGGTGTGTTGTCCATGAGTTTTGTGCTTGTTCTGGAACTCATTTACTGGGGAGGGCCGTCAATCAACTCGGGATTGCTTGCCATACCATACCACCAACAGATTGCAACCTGATTAACCAACCACCCTGGCATGGTTCATTACAGTATTTATTACAGGAGGGCTAAATGGTTCTCTTACACCCCATGCAAAGCTTTGCATTGCATCGCTAACTCCAGGGAGTGTGTGTGCGTGTGAGCTCAGCTCGAGGACTCCCCCTATCTTCGTCCTGCTCGCCGGGCTTTCATTTTCAGATAAGCCTCAACAGCAGCAGGATTAGCTCCCGCTCTCACCCTCAGTTTCGTTTGCGCTGCTTCAGCCGGAGCATTGACAGATGCCCAAGCAAATCCACCACCGCTTTCATTTAAGAAAGCCTTTTCAGGCCTTTCTTTCTCCTGCACCACCACCGCCCCTTCCCCGATGCCCTTCATACCGTTGCCCATCGCGCTGCTCGCCTCCTGCCCGGTCTTCTCGATCTGACTGATAGAACCTGGCGGCGTCTGCCCGGGTTGTAACACGTATCTGAAAATTGTTTTCGGGCTGCCCGTGTTGCTCCGGACGTGACGAGCTGCTGCCGAGGAAGCAGCAGAGGAAGTGGAGAGTGCAGTCAAGCTGGCATGGCGAGGAATCAAGGTGGCGGGATCTGCGGAGCCTGGGGGGGACGCACCAGGCAGGGATCTGGATGACACTACAGGAGATGCTCCATGCGATGACCCAGGGTATACAGATGATTCTTCAAGCGACGATCCAGACGTGGCGGTTCCAGCTGAGTTAAACGCGTCCGAAGAAGAATCCTGGTGATTCACGTGGATTGGACTCGAAAACACCATTCCTGGGACAAATCTCTGCGCTGGAAAAGCACCACCATTCGCAACAGTCGCAGCATTCGCAGGAGTCGCAATGCCTGAACTTCCGTCACTGCATGTGGAGCCGAACGAGCTCCCACCACTCTGCATGCCGTATTTACTCCGTCCAGACGACGCCACCGCGGAGTCGCTTTGCGATGAATGCATCTGCATGGGTTGATTGTGGGGATTTTCCGAAACGCTTTTCGAAGAATGCAGCAGATGCGGTTGGACGAGAGACGGGGACGGACTCCCCATGGTTCTGCCGACAAATCCCGAGGTCGGAGGAGTGCTGTTTCGCGCTGCGCCGCCCGCCGCGTGAAGCGGGGAATGGTACGAAAAGACGCTTCGAGCCGCCGACGAGGCAGCTGCATTCCTGGCTGTGGGCGACGAAGATGATGCTTCGGCGGCCGATGATGCTGCCGCGGCCGATGCTGCCGCGGCGGCTGCGGCCGCGTCACTGGTTGCACTACCACGTTTATTGTGACGGTCCAGCGTGAAACTCCGTCGTCGAGGCTTCGAGTTGCCTCCAGTCGGAGTGTTGAAATGAGGAGAATCTTCGTCGCCGTCGACGTATGATGGAGAGTAAGTCACTGAAGTGATAGTGACCACTGAAGCTGGATTCGACACGGTCGCTGCGCGGGACATGAATGCGGTGACGTTTCTGGGACCGTTGCTACCGCCGCCCGCGAAATCGCCGTCTGCGCTTGCAACATCGTCGCCGCCGGCGGCGCCGTCGATTTCCAGATCTTCGAGGAGCGACGTGAGATCTATGCCGTCGATTCTTGCATTGGAGGAGTCCATGGCTTGGCATCTCTTTTCAAGATCTGCGAGGGGAGCATGCCATTGCTGTTAGTTTTTACCACAACGCTGATCCACCACGTCAATCGGATAATGTTACATGAGCTGTCAAGTTGCTCGAATCCTTGTCAGAACGCCCAAAACTCTTCGAGAAATAAAAATAATGCTGAAGAAAGCTACATTGCACACAACACGAAACGGAGAACGTGTCATCTGCGAGAAGATTCAAGTCGTGCTGTGCTCACCTTCCCAGTTACGAGCCTTTGCTTCCTTCTGCGAATAGCCTCTGTTAAGTAGCAGGCCGCGGTTCCCAGACGCATGGTTCACCATGGCGGAGCTCATGATCGCAGCGCGTATACTTTTTAAGCGCGTCGTGCACTCACTACAAGAAGAGCGCTTTGTGCAACGTCGCGAGAGAAGATCAGAGTGACCAATTCGGCGGCCTGTAAGATGATAAATGGTTATGGGGAATGGGAATCATGTCTTATTTGTTTTAGCGCCCCAAGGCTGCGACGGAAGGTCGAAATTCAGTTTGTTCTGAGCAACACTCCTACAACGCGGTTTGAAACGGCGTAGGTTTTTTTTAAACGGTTAACCTGGTTACAACATGGCGAAGTGACCCCTCCGACCTTGGAATGAAATCGGTTGGGATGTCAACAGTACTGCAATTCAGTCGTGCACAAAAGTCTCCACTTGCGAGAAGCAGTTACCAGACTGTGCCGTTCTGGAAACGTAGGCACCAAATACAACCGTTCTGAGATGTGTCAAAAAGCCACTCTCGAAGTGAATCGTACAGTAGGTGCATAGCAGGAGCACGTTGATCGAAGGAAGGCGCCGGACGAAGTGAGAAATGGGAGGGAGTGTCCGTGATCAAGCCACTGGACTGGTGGTGCCCCCATTCTGAGTGTCAAGTTGCATCCAGTGGTGTGGTGTGGTGTGGTGTGGTGTGGTGTGGTGTGGTGAAATTCACCTGAAAACACCACAGTGACCCTGGGCGGCGAGGGGACGCACTTGTTTCCAGGTCGGCTCGGGTGACAGCTGGGTCATGTCCGATCGCGCGTCGTCACATGTGACGGCCTTGCTCTACACATGTGTACTGTATTCTTGACGTTGATGTGGCGTTGCCAACAAACCACTAGGATACTGTGGTCGAAAATGGATTTTTGGTTGCATAACCACCCTGGACAGGTTACTGCCTGATAATCCTGGAACAACAATACAATCCTGGTTCACACTCGGTGGAATCACGATATGGCCGTAGTAATTACGGGAGATGGTGTGCACAAAAATATCCTGCACCCTCCCACTTTTGCATTCGGACTGGGCTGTAGGAGCTTCACGATTTCGGAACATACAGCAAAATATTCTTTTGGGCCGCTTCTGGCAACCATTTCTAAATCTGTAATGTGTACTGCATACACCTGATGCCCTTTTCAAAAATATCCATTTTCTGGCTCCTCCTTATCATTCGACACACTGCATTCAGAGCTTCAAAAAGGCTTGCAGTTCTTCGACATGTGATGATGTTTGGGTAGCCAAACCTGTTTTTCCTCCAAAACTTGACAACCTTACACGTGATACAAAACAAAGCGTTTTGGCATGGGCTTCTGACGATTGAGCCGCTTCAACCATTGATCTTTCCTCTCCAGAAGCTGTGGCTTTGTTTCCAAAGAGAAGTTCAGTGTAGTCCACAGTAAAACCAAGTGCAAACTCTCCGAAGCAGTACACGAAGCTTCTTCATTCGAGCCCGCGTTTTCGTCGCGAATGCTGCGACCAAGCAGCCAATCGACACTTGGCTCTAAACGCTCCAATAAATGATCACCTCTGTGCACCAATGACGACTTGCCAAGTTCATCCAATCGAGTATGTGTGGTGTGGATCGAGTCGGCTCGTCGTCTTGTCTGGTCTGGTAAGGAAGGGATTGCTGGTGAAGCAGGGCAAGTGGTTGGTACAACTCACTTTTGACCTGAATACACGTACAAGCTTCTCAGTCAGCAAAGATAACTACTGCACTTCATGATTACTTATAAACAAGTTTTGTAGTGCTGTCCTGCAGACATGCAGACATGCAATTACTACTTACAGATGCTCTTGCAAGCATGTGTATTTGTGTGCATGCGGTGTTTACCGCAATCCTAGTTCACACACTTGCGCTGGAATGGGCAGGACATTGCTTAGTCAGGTGCCTACCTTGGCAAATTGCACACCAAACAATAACAATGAAAATCAATGGCTTATGAAGGAGAAGAGGGAATGGGTGGGAGGGGTTGGTGCACTGATTACTGGAGCATATTGCGTGTTTCGGGCATTGCAGGAATTGAGGGCCAATGCAGTAACTGCAATGCCCCTCGTACCCATGATATATCATGGGTGGACTAGGAGTAATTTATTGCATAAGAATGCACTAGATACTAATAATGGACGGACAAAGAAGTAGTTATTGCATGAAATGCATCACATGGCGACCTTATTCCTTTGTTGCAACTGCACTAAAGTGGCATAAGCACCATTGGGTACACTTATGAGCTCCATGTGAGTGCCCTGCTCCACCAGCCTCCCACCCTACAACACAATAAGCACATAGTTAAGAGACATGATACAATGTAGATACAGTATGTAAGCATTACCACGTCGGTGGGAAATGAGAGCCATGGAGCTACAGCAGCAAGCCCTTCCCATCTCCCACACCCTCCCCCCACCACACAGTCACTCAACCCACCACACACCCCATCACTCTGCTATGCAGGCCAACACCCCTCCTCCCAATTCCCTCCTCCTTCACCTGCAGCACAGCAATGCTGTCGGCACGGCAGATGGTGGAGAGGAGAGGCGGCGCAATGCACACCTCGCTACTCTGCTACTCAGCCCTCCACAACCATGCCACCCGCCCCCCATCCCCAACCCCAGCATTTCCCTCACCTGCAGCACAGCAATGCAGTCCGCATGGCAGATGGTGGAGAGGCGAGAATCACTCAGGCACTCAACCCTCCACACATCCCGTCACTCTGTTACTCAACCCAACAGACACACTCCCTCTCCCTTGTCCATCCCCCCCTCCACTCACCTGCAGCACAGCAATGCAGTCCGCGTGGCAGATGGTGGAGAGGCGGTGCGCGACGACAATCGTGGTGCGGCCAATCACGATGCGGTTCAGCGCTGACTGGACCGCCACCTCAGACTCCGCATCCAGTGCTGACGTGGCCTGCAGGGGAGAGCCATGCAGGATGGAGAAATTTGAGGCAACGAAGGACATGTGAGTGAGTAAATGAGTAAGGAGTGAGCGAGAAATTGGGGAGTGAGTGAGTGACAGGGGAGTGAGCAGGTGAGTGAGGGGGGACACTTATGAGATAGACACTGCACCTCAACCAGCAGCAGCACCACTGGGTCTTTCAGGATGGCTCTGGCAGAGATGGCACACCGCCTTTCAGGATGGCTCTGGCGATGGCAGAGAGTGTGCTCAGCTCACTAAGACTGCTATGAGCACTCCACCCATCACCACCGATCACCACCCACATCACCACCCATCACCACCGTACCTCATCCAGCAGCAGCACCGCCGGGTCTTTCAGGATGGCTCTGGCGATGGCAATGCGCTGCTTCTGCCCTCCTGACAGCTGCACGCCCCTCTCTCCCACCTGCACGCACATTGATATGGGGGAAGGGAACGGGCGCTGAGGAACCCAATCCAACCCAAACAAACCCAACCCAACCGAACCCAACCCAACCTGAGCCGACTGCTCGGCTCCTAACACCACGCCACCAGGCACGCGTACAGATGAAGAGCAAATCACCAAGCGAGCAACCCCCTATCCCTCGGGCAGACTGCTGATGAACCCATGCACGTTGGCTGCTCGTGCTGCTTCCACCTCACCAGGGAAGGCCACATCCAACAAGCTCCCCACCGCCCTCCCCTTCTCACCTGCGTGTCGTATCCCTCGGGCAGCCCACTGATGAACCCATGCACGTTGGCTGTCTTGGCTTCTTCCATTACACCAGGTACGCGCACCTATCAGCAAACCCCCTTCGTCCCCCCCCCCCCCTCCTCCCACCCTCACCTGCGTGTCGTATCCCTCGGGCAGGCTAATGATGAACCCATGCACGTGGGCTGCTCGCGCTGCTTCCACCACGCACCAGGTACGAGCACCTATCAGCATCCCACCCACGCCTCCCTCCTCCCCCCCCTTCACCTGCGTGTCGTATCCCTCGGGCAGACTGCTGATGAACCCATGCACGTTGGCTGCTCGTGCTGCTTCCACCACCTCGGCCTCGCTGGCGCCTGGCTGGCCGTACAGGATGTTGCCGCGGATGCTGCAAGGAGCACAACAAGGCGTGGAGACATGGGGTCATGCAAGGATCGGGAGGCATGAAGCCTATTCGAGACCCGCCTCAAGTACATGCCTCCTCAAGCTGATTCCACCACCTCTGCCTCGCTGGCGCCTGGCTGACCGTACAAGATGTTGCCACGGATGCTGGGAGGAGATGGAGACACGGGGACATGGAAGGTAACGAGGTCACTTTTGAGTCGACTCTAAAGTGACACGGGGTATCAGTGAGGCGCCTCAACCACGCGCTGCTTCCACCACCTCTGCCTCGCTGGCGCCTGGCTGGCCGTACAGGATGTTGCCGCGGATGCTGGGGGGACGTGGAGACGTGGGAGCATGGAGGCATGGGGCCATGGAGGGGTGAAAAAGAACGAGACCACAATGCAGAGTGCTTCGAGATTTCTCAAAAACACCACATTGCTTACGTGGTAGCAAAGAGGGCGGGTTCTTGGCTGACCAGCCCGATGAACGATCGCAGAGTCTTCAGATGAACGGTCCGGATGTCCTCCCCATCCACCCGCACACTCCCAGCCGTCGGATCCTAGAACCGCTCCACCAGAGCCACCACGGAACTTTTTCCGCTGCCCGACGGGCCCACCAGCGCCAGCATCTTCCCCGGCGCTGCCCGGAGAGAAAGGTCTTGCAGCACGGGCGTTTCCGGGCGGGTCGGGTAGGCGAAAGAAACCGATCGAAACTCAATCTCTCCGCGAACAGTCGAAACCACCTCAGCCGTCGGATCGTCGGAAAGAATCTTGGGCGTCCGATCTGTGGTCTTGAAGACCGATCGAACGGCCACGCTTCCTTTCGCAGTATCCGGAGCGAGAGTAATGCTCTCAGCTATAGCCATCGACGTCATTATAAGCACCATAAATGACTTAAGCACATCACCATATGACGCTGTATTGGGAATTAAAGTCGACCCGTACCATAGTGCTAACGCATACGACCCATACATGAAAAATTGGCTCAGGCCGAAACCTGCCCCACCAACCTGCCCGCGAAGGAATGAGCGCCTGAGGGGTCCTGCCAGCCTGGCAGTGAACAGTGCGAGGATTTTGTCCTGTGCGTTGAATGCTGCTACAGTGCGGATGTTGGCTACCGCCTCTGCTGCTATGGTGGTGGCGCCCGCATGCGATGAGTTCTGGTTGCCCGCAAACCCTGCCAGGAATTGTTGCTGCGAGGGGGGAGAGGAGGGGAGGGGAAGTGGGGGGTAGAGATGAGATGGAGGTTGTTGGTGCTACAGTGCGGATGTTGGCGACCGCGTGGGATGAGCTCTGGTTGCCTGCAGCTCTGGTTGCCTGCAAACCCTGCCAGGAATTGTTGCTGGGAAGGGGGAAAGGAGGCGATGTGGATGGGAGGGGCGAGAAGAGGAGGGGTAGAAGAGGGGTGATAGGAGGAGAGGAGGAATGAGAGGTGGAGAGGAAAAGGGGTTCGACTCATGCATGGCTGCACACTCAAAAGACTGTCAGTGACTGCAGAGCATGCCTGTCAGTGACTGCAGAGCATGACTGTCAGTGACTGCAGAGCATGACTGTCAGTGACTGCAGGGCATGACTGTCAGTGACTGCAGAGCATGCAGGTTCTGCGTGGCGAGAGCTACGCTATCCCACTCCCCCTCCTCACCTCCATAAGCGCTGCAAATATCAGCAGAGGGAACGTGGCGATGACGACCAGTGCCACGCGCCACTCCACCACGAACCCGATCACAAACGCGATGACACTCACCAACAGGTTCTGCGTGGCTGCAGGGCGCGCATATCCGCCTTCCCACCCCCTTACCTCCACGAGCGCAGCGAAAATCAGTAGAGGGAAAGTCGCGATGACCACGAGAGCGACCCGCCACTCCACCACGAACCCGATCACAAACGCGATGACAATCACCGACAGGTTCTGCATGGCTGCAGGGCGCGCATATCCGCCTTCCCACCCCCTTACCTCCATGAGCGCAGCGAAAATCAGTAGAGGGAAAGTCGCGATGACCACGAGAGCGACCCGCCACTCCACCACGAACCCGATCACAAACGCGATGACAATCACCGACAGGTTCTGCATGGCTGCAGGGCGCGCATATCCGCCTTCCCACCCCCTTACCTCCATGAGCGCAGCGAAAATCAGTAGAGGGAAAGTCGCGATGACCACGAGAGCGACCCGCCACTCCACCACGAACCCGATCACAAACGCGATGACGATCACCGACAGGTTCTGCTATCCTCTCTCTCTCCTGAGCTCACCTCCATGAGTGCCGCAAATATGAGCAGCGGGAACGTTGCAATCACCACGAGCGCAACCCGCCACTCCACCACGAACCCGATGACAAACGCGATGACAATCACCGACAGGTTCTGCGTGGCAAGGGCAATGCGGTCCGCCACGGCCGCTTTGACTAGCGTGGCGTCTGTGGCGAGACGAGAGGCGATGGCGCCGCTGGCGTTGGCGTCCCGATCGAACCATGCCACCTCGTTGCCTAGGATGGCTGTGGGGGGAGGGATGAGGGAGGAGAGGAGGAAGGGAGGAAAGGAGGGAGTGCCATGGTTGGCGAGGTGAGATGCGATAGCTCCGCTGGCGTTGGCGTCCCTATCGAACCCGATCGATCATTGCCTAGGATGGCTGCATGGGGGGGGGGGGGGGGGGGAGAGGAAGGGGGGAAGGAGGGCGAGAAGGGGGAGTGGGGTCGGTGGCAAGACGAGTTAACGTCTTCTCGTCTTCTCCACTGGTGATGACTCCACTGGTGTTAACGTCTTCTCGTCTTCTCCACTGGTGATGACTCCACTGGTGTTAACGTCTTCTCGTCTTCTCCACTGGTGATGACTCCACTGGTGTTAACGTCTTCTCGTCTTCTCCACTGGTGATGACTCCACTGGTGTTAACGTCTTCTCGTCTTCTCCACTGGTGATGAATCCACTGGTGTTAACGTCTTCTCGTCTTCTCTCTGACTCACTTCACCGCAGCTTCCCCCACCACCCCAGAGCTTTAATCCTGCAAGGAGTGCCACTGGCAGGGCATGCCCAGAGCAGGGAAGACCAAAGCCCTACCGATCCCAACCTGGCTTTGTTCCCCCACGCACCTGCAAGCATCTTCTCTCTGACTCGCTTCACTAGTACTTCTCCCGACACGCCAAAGCCGTAGTTCTGCACCGAGTGCACTGGCAGCGCCAGCACACTCAGAGCCGTGAATCCCCTCCCCCTCCCCCTCCTGTTGTGATGTTCCTATGTTACATACCTTTGAGAATATTCTCTGACTCGCTACACCAGTGCTTCCCCCAACACACCAAAGCCGTAGTTCTACACTGAGTGTACTGGCAGGGCCAGCACGCCAAAGCAGACCCTTCCAGGACAGGTGCTTAAGATGTTGACACCCTTCCACCACCCACGCACCTGCCAGCATTTTCTCTCTGACTCGCTTCACCAGTGCTTCCCCTGCCACCCCAAACCCGCATTTATGCACTGAGTGTACTGGCAAGGCCAGCACACCTGGAGCCGTGAAGACCAAATCCGTACCTTTCCCAACCTGGCAATGTTCCCCCACGCACCTGCAAGCATCTTCTCTCTGACTCGCTTCACCAGCGCCTCTCCCGACACGCCAAAGCCGTAGTTCTGCACCGAGTGCACTGGCAGCGCCAGCACGCCGAGAGCCGTGAAGACTATGGCCCACTTGTTGACCTCCCGCTTCATCTCATCGGTATCAGGGTTGTAGAGAGCCGCTATCACCTGCAGTGCGGTTGGGGATGGGAGGGGGATGGCACAATGTGGGTGGAGTAGTGAAGACTATGGCCCGCTTCATCTCATCGGTATCAGGGTTGTAGAGAGCCGCTATCACCTGCAGTGCGGTTGGGGATGGGAGGGGGATGGCACAATGTGGGTGGAGTAGTGAAGACTATGGCCCGCTTCATCTCATCGGTATCAGGGTTGTAGAGAGCCGCTATCACCTGCAGTGCGGTTGGGGATGGGAGGGGGATGGCACAATGTGGGTGGAGTAGTGAAGACTATGGCCCGCTTCATCTCATCGGTATCAGGGTTGTAGAGAGCCGCTATCACCTGCAGTGCGGTTGGGGATGGGAGGGGGATGGCACAATGTGGGTGGAGTAGTGAAGACTATGGCCCGCTTCATCTCATCGGTATCAGGGTTGTAGAGAGCCGCTATCACCTGCAGTGCGGTTGGGGATGGGAGGGGGATGGCACAATGTGGGTGGAGTAGTGAAGACTATGGCCCGCTTCATCTCATCGGTATCAGGGTTGTAGAGAGCCGCTATCACCTGCAGTGCGGTTGGGGATGGGAGGGGGATGGCACAATGTGGGTGGAGTAGTGAAGACTATGGCCCGCTTCATCTCATCGGTAACAGGGTTGTAGAGAGCCGCAACCAGCTGAAGGAGGGAAGAGGAGTGGTCGAGATGGGGGGGGGGTGTGGAGATGGCAGAATGTGATAGGAAGGAGCAGTGAAGTGTAAGTCCCCATCGTCCGTGTCATAGTCTATGTTCTGGGTCTTACAGAGCTGATATGACCTAGAGAGTGGTTCAGAAGAGCGGGAAGGAAAAGACAAGGCAAGGTCATTACTCCACTGCAATCCCACTCACGTTCCAATCACGCTCACAATGCACTCACAATAAAATCCCACTCACATCAATGAACGGCAGAGCATACACGGGGTTGAACGCCGCAGCAATCACAGCACCAGCGGAGAAGACTTTTAGAGGTGAATTCGCCAGCAATCACTCAACAGGTGAATTCACCAGCAATCACTCAACAGGTGAATTTTGAGCCGACTCAATAGACTTCTGAGACGTCTCAAAATTAGAGAACTCAACAGGTGAATTTTGAGCCGACTCAAGAGACCCACTCACATCAATGAGCAGCAGAGCATACACGGGGTTGAACGCCCCTGCCATCACACTCACACTCACCAGTGGCGCCCAGGGCACTGACACACTCACATTACAAACACACACCAACCCACACTACAGACCCACTCACATCAATGAGCAGAAGCGCATACACCGGCTTGAACGCCCCTGCCATCACAGCACGAGCTGCACCCAAAGCAGTGTCTCACGTTACAGCAGTGTCACACTCACGTTACAATCCCACCCAAACCACAGTCGCACTCACATCAATGAGCAGAAGCGCATACACGGGGTTGAACGCGCCTGCCATGACAGCACCAGCCGCGCCCAGAGCAGTGAAGGGCCACTCAGGAGCACTCATACGCGCTAGTCGCCACCACGACGCCTTCTTTCCCCCCACTCCTTCTCCTTCTCCTTCCCCTTCTCCTTCTCCTTCTCCCTTCGCGCCCTCCTCCTCCTCTCCACTCTCCTTGCCCTCCTGACTGTTTTTCCCCTTGTCATCTCCTCTCTTTTTGCCGCCAGGGAGCAACGCCCTCAGGGGAGCTGGTAGAACCTTCCTCAGTTCCCCCCACACTCGCTTCCCTCCTCCCCCTTCTCCTCCCTCCTCCTCTTCCTCCTCCACGTCAGATCCCATTAGATCCAAGTCAAAGTCCACGTCAGCAGCAGGTTCTCTGAAGCCACGTGGAGTGGAGGCTGCTGACAGGGAGCTCAGCGCCCTGGAGATCTTCCTTCCGACGTCCTCCATGCTCCCTGATTGGTCCACGTCAGCAGCAGGCTCTCTGAAGCCACGTGGAGTGGAGACTGCTGAGAGGGAGCTAAGCGCCCTGGTGATCTTCCTTCCCACGTTCTCCATGCTCCCTGATTGGTCCACGTCAGCAGCAGGCTCTCTGAAACCACGTGGAGTGGAGGCTCCTGAGAGGGAGCTAAGCGCCCTGGTGATCTTCCTTCCCACGTTCTCCGTGCTCCCTGATTGGTCCACGTCAGCAGCAGGCTCTCTGAAGCCACGTGGAGGCTCCTGAGAGGGAGCTAAGCGCCCTGGTGATCTTCCTTCCCACGTTCTCTATGCTCCTTAATTGGTCCACGTCAGCAGCAGGCTCTCTGAAGCCACGTGGAGTGGAGGCTGCTGACAGGGAACTCAGTGCCCTCGAGAGCTTACTTCCCACGTTCTCTATGCTCCCTGATTGGCCCACGTCAGCAGCAGGATCTCTGAACCCACGTGGCGTGGAGGATGCTGAGATGGAGCTCAGCGCCCTCGAGATCTTCCTACCCACGTCCTCCTCGTATCCTGACTGGTTCACGTCAATTCGAAGGCGGCCGGCTGCTTTCAATCCTGGAACCTGATTGGCCAGAGCATTCAGGCTTACGTGGCGATCCTCCCCAGCTACCATCTGCAGGCGAACCAAGTTAGCATACACGCCCCCCTCTTTCCTCGCACCTTCCTTTGCACTAACCACACCCCTCCCCTCATCATCCTCCCCTCCCCCTCCCCCCTCCTCCGCCCCCCCATGCGCCATCAGCTCTTCGTGTGTCCCCTCCTCCACCACCCTACCCCCGGCCACCACAGCAATCTTGTCTGCATTCCGGATCGTGGACAGCCGGTGTGCGATCACAACCGTTGATCTGCCGCGCATCAGCCCACCGTCCAGAGCCGCCTGCACCACGCGCTCTGATTCGCTGTCCAGTGCTGACGTGGCCTCGTCCAATAGCAGCACGCGGGGGTTGCGAACGCCTGCTCTGGCGATGGCGATGCGCTGCCTCTGCCCTCCTGACAGCTGCACGCCCCTCTCTCCCACCTGCACGCACATCGATATGGGGGACGGGCAGGGAAGAGAGGGTGTTGGATGCGTGTGATGGTCAACGCATTAGCACTGTCGCAGCAATGGCAATCCGCTGCTTCTGCCCTCCTGACAGCTGCACGCCCCTCTCTCCCACCTGCAGATTTGCATGGGGGCAAAGACAAGAATAACGGGATGGGTACTTGCGTGACTGCTCTGGCGCTGCTTCTGCCCTCCTGCCAGCTGCACGCCCCTCTCTCCCACCTGCAGATTTGCATGGGGGCAAAGACAAGAATAACGGGATGGGTACTTGCGTGACTGCTCTGGCGCTGCTTCTGCCCTCCTGCCAGCTGCACGCCCCTCTCTCCCACCTGCAGATTTGCATGGGGGCAAAGACAAGAATAACGGGATGGGTACTTGCGTGACTGCTCTGGCGCTGCTTCTGCCCTCCTGCCAGCTGCACGCCCCTCTCTCCCACCTGCAGATTTGCATGGGGGCAAAGACAAGAATAACGGGATGGGTACTTGCGTGACTGCTCTGGCGCTGCTTCTGCCCTCCTGACAGCTGCACGCCCCTCTCTCCCACCTGCAGATTTGCATGGGGGCAAAGACAAGAATAACGGGATGGGTACTTGCGTGACTGCTCTGGCGCTGCTTCTGCCCTCCTGCCAGCTGCACGCCCCTCTCTCCCACCTGCAGATTTGCATGGGGGCAAAGACAAGAATAACGGGATGGGTACTTGCGTGACTGCTCTGGCGCTGCTTCTGCCCTCCTGCCAGCTGCACGCCCCTCTCTCCCACCTGCAGATTTGCATGGGGGCAAAGACAAGAATAACGGGATGGGTACTTGCGTGACTGCTCTGGCGCTGCTTCTGCCCTCCTGACAGCTGCACGCCCCTCTCTCCCACCTGCAGATTTGCATGGGGGCAAAGACAAGAATAACGGGATGGGTACTTGCGTGACTGCTCTGGCGCTGCTTCTGCCCTCCTGCCAGCTGCACGCCCCTCTCTCCCACCTGCACGCGCATTCACAGCAATGGCATTGGCAATGCGCGGTGGCATCTGAGTTCCTCCACCTCTTACATCAACTCAGTTCAGCATCCCTAACCTGCATCAATGCAAACCGTCTCACCTGTGTGTTGTACCCTTGCGGTAGCGCAGTCACAAAGGAATGCGCGTTGGCGATCCTTGCTGCTTCCTCCACCTCCTCCTGTGTCGCGTCCTCCTTGCTGTACCGAATGTTCTCCAGAATGCTGTGTGATGGGGAGGGGGAGAGAGAGGGAGAGAAGGGAGAGAGAATGGTGAAGGGTGCTATACATCACACACACTTGCATCATCAATCAGCTCACCTCACTCCACCGCACTCCACCTCACCCCACCTCACCTGGTAGCAAACAGGGACGGCTCCTGGCTGACAAGCCCCAGCTGGGAGCGCAGCCACGTCAGGCTGAGCTGGCGCAGATCCGCGCCGTCCAATGAAACGCTGCCAGCTGTCGGGTCGTAGAAGCGCTGGATGAGCGCCACGACGGTTGACTTGCCGCTGCCTGATGGGCCGACCAGGGCGACCGTGGTACCAGCGGGTATTGAGAGGGAGAAGTCCTGAGAGTGTGGGGGGACGAACGTAACAACGAAGAAGAAATGGAGAGAGGAGGTGAATGCGGAGTGGCTGTTGTGAGTCGAGCCCACGACGGTTGACTTGCCGCTGCCTGATGGGCCGACCAGGGCGACCGTGGTGCCAACAGGGATCGAGAGGGAGAAGTCCTGAGAGTGTGGGGAGGGAAGTGGGAATGTGAATGGAGGAGAGAGAAGGTGAAGCGAGGTGAAGGATGAGTGGTAGGGAACTGGGGCGAGAGCGGTTCACTTGCTGCTGCCTCATGGGCCCACCAGGGTGACTGTAATGCCGGCATGGTCAAGGGAGGGGATTAAAACGACCGTGTTCAGGATTTCCCAAAAGATGATGCCAGTTGGCTTGCTGGTGGAGTGACTTTTGAGAATTCTCAAAGTCACTCCAATATAGCTGGCCTACAAATCCCTCCGGTTTTGAGAATTCTCAAAAGATGATGCCAGTTGGCTTGCTGGTGGAGAGGGATTGATGCAATCACTTGCTCACCGTTGAGGCGCCTCAAAAGTCTTAAATACGGCATCCTTAAGGTGGAAGAGCTGTCAGTAACGGACAGGTGGGCTGCGGAGGCCTACGGCATGCATCCTTAAGCTGAAACGATGGCAACGGTATCACTTGCCCACCTTAAATATCGACACTTCAGGCCAAGCCGGGTGAGTGTGTTGAGAAGTCCCAAAACTCAGTGAAAAGCAGCTAGCTCACCTTAAATATCGGCACTTCTGGTTAAGCCGGGTACGCAAAGCACACCCTTTCAAACTCCACCCGCCCCTGCACCCGTGTTTCAGTCGACAAAAAGCAGCTAGCTCACCTTAAATATCGGCACTTCAGGCCGAGCCGGGTATGCAAAGCACACCTTCTCAAACTCCACCCGCCCCTCCACCGCCTCCAACTCCTTCCCACCGCTCCCCCCCTCCTCCTCCCCGCCAATCACCGGCCGTCTCGCTATAGTCACAAAGATCTTATACGCTGCCACACAGCCCTTGGAAAAGGCTGTGACGTTAGGGAGGGCTTGGCCGAGCCCCAGGCTGCCGAGGGCGATGGCGAACATGGTGGTGAGGATTGAGCCTCCGTTGCCGATGCCTTGGGAGATGAGAAGGCCGGAGAACCAGAACATGAGCGCAAAGGACGCGAACATGAGTCCGTAGATGGCGCCTAGGCCCACTCCCTTGGCTAATCCGCCCTGGTAGGAAGGCACGGGAGAGGGAGAGGGAGGGAAACGAGAGTGGGAGTGGGTTCCCCTCCCCTGGCCTGCCAAGCCCCAGCCTGGTTCCCCTCCCCTGGCCTGCCAAGCCCCAGGCTGCCAAGGGTGATGGCGAACATGGTGGTGAGGATTGAGCCTCCGTTGCCAATGCATGGGGATATAGATAGCGCACCCAGACCCAGGGTCGGATAGGCAAGGACAAGCACCTATCAACGCACCTTGACTCCCAGCTTGAACGTGTCCCTTAAAGCCCGCCCATATGCCTCCACTGTCCTGTCCTCTGCCACGTACGACTGCACTGTGCGCACCTGCCCCACCGCCTGTTGGAGGGAAGGGGGAAGACAGACAGGTGTGGAGCGGTGAGGGGGTGGTGGGGAAGACTGGTGGGTCGACACCCCTTTGCCTCCACTGTCCTGTCCTCTGCCCCGTACGACTGCACTGTTCGCACCTGCCCCACTGCCTGATGTGGTGGGGGCGATGGAGGGGAGGGGGTGGTAAAGAGGGGGTGGTGAGGGAGGTTGAGGGTGGTGAGGGGTTCGTTGGGGGAACGCCCCATACGCCTCCACTGTCCTGTCCTCTGCCCCGTATGACTGCACTGGGGGCACCTGCCCCACCGCCTGTGGTGGTGGAGGGGGGATGGGGAGAGAAAGGAAAAGAAACGGAGAAGAGGGGGTGGGGTGAGGGGTTCGTTGGGGGAACGCCCCATACGCCTCCACTGTCCTGTCCTCTGCCCCGTATGACTGCACTGGGGGCACCTGCCCCACCGCCTGTGGTGGTGGAGGGAGGGGGTTTGGGTGGACAAACAGGGGGAAGGATGAAAGGAATGAGGGAGATGGTTGGGGCTCACAAGTAGCACTCCTTGCTGTCCTCCTCATCTCCCTCTACCTTTTCCTCTCCTGTCCTCCTTGCTGTCCTCTGCCATGTATGACTGCCCTGTGCGAGGTGACTTTTGAGTCGACTCAGAAGTCACCTCGAGATGGTTGGGGCTCACAAGTAGCACTCCTTGATGTCCTCCTCATCTCCCTCTACCTTTTCCTCTCCTGTCCTCCTTGCTGTCCTCTGCCATGTATGACTGCCCTGTGCGCACCTGTTCTTCTATCTTTCCTGCTCCTCCCTGCCAATAACCAAAAGACAGTCGGTTGAGACACGTACCTGTTCAGCAATCTTCCCTGCTTCGGTGTAAGCCTTCTCGCCCTGAGTCATGAGGCCCGTGAGCACAGCCGCATAGATCCCTCCCGTGGCGATGATGAGCGGGCACACGGCGAGAATGACCAGAGCCAGCTGCCACACGCTGGTGAAGCCGACTATGAAGCCACACACGAACGTGGAGAAGTAGTGAATGCAGTTGCCCACCTGGTTGGGGGGCAAGGAAGCGAGGATTGGAGAGAGGATAGGTGTGTGGAGTAGGGCCAGGTGCCCTGCCACATGCTGCCACACGGTGCCACATGCTGCCACATGCTGCCACATGCTGCCACATGCTGCCACATGCTGCCACATGCTGCCACATGCTGCCACATGCTGCCACATGCTGCCACATGCTGCCACATGCTGCCACATGCTGCCACATGCTGCCACATGCTGCCACATGCTGCCACATGCTGCCACATGCTGCCACATGCTGCCACACGGTGCCACACGGTGCCCCACGGTGCCACACGCTGCCACACGCTGCCACACGCTGCCACACGCTGCCACACGCTGCCACACGCTGCCACACGCTGCCACACGTTGCCACACGTTGCCACACGCTGCCACACGCTGCCACACGCTGCAACACGCTGCCACACGCTGCCACACGCTGCCACACGCTGCCACACGCTGCCACACGCTGCCACACGCTGCCACACGCTGCCACACGCTGCCACACGCTGCCACACGCTGCCACACGCTGCCACACGATGCCACACGTCGCCACACGCTGGTTCACGAGCTCCCCCGAGCAGGCCTCGAAGTCAAGAATGCTACTTCCTGCCGCAGCAACACATATTCTGAGACGAGTTTTTAGTCGACTTAAAACTCGTCTCATCACACCCAAGCACGCCTCGAGGTAAAAAAAGGCCACCTCCTGCCACAGCAACATACATTTTGAGGGGCCTCAAGCACCAACACACCCACCTTCTCCGAGATGGCATCTTGCAGCAGCAGCACATCAGATGATACGCGGTTCACCAGCTCCCCCGAGCATGCCTCGAGGTCGAAAAAGGCCACCTCCTGCCGCAGCAGCGCCTGCAGGTACAGCCGGCGCACCCGCGCACTCTGCCGCTCGCCCGTGTGCATCCAGCACGCCACCTCTGCGGGGATGGCAGGGGAAGCGGAGGACAGAGGAGGAGATGGGAAGAGGGGGCAATGTGAGTTGCAGGTACAGCCGGCGCACCCTCGCGCTCTGCCTCTCGCCCGTGTGCATCCAGCACGCCACCTCTGCGGGAATGGCAGGGGAAGCGGAGGACAGAGGAGGAGATGGGAAGAGGGGGCAATGTGAGTTGCAGGTACAGCCGGCGCACCCTCGCGCTCTGCCTCTCGCCCGTGTGCATCCAGCACGCCACCTCTGCGGGAATGGCAGGGGAAGCGGAGGACAGAGGAGGAGATGGGAAGAGGGGGCAATGTGAGTTGCAGGTACAGCCGGCGCACCCTCGCGCTCTGCCTCTCGCCCGTGTGCATCCAGCACGCCACCTCTGCGGGGATGGCAGGGGAAGTGGAGGACAGAGGAGGAGATGGGAAGAGGGGGGAATGTGAGTTGCAGGTACAGCCGGCGCACCCTCGCGCTCTGCCTCTCGCCCGTGTGCATCCAGCACGCCACCTCTGCGGGGATGGCAGGGGAAGCGGAGGACAGAGGAGGAGATGGGAAGAGGGGGAAATGTGAGTTGCAGGTACAGCCGGCGCACCCTCACGCTCTGCCTCTCGCCCGTGTGCATCCAGCACGCCACCTCTGCGGGGATGGCAGGGGAAGCGGAGGACAGAGGAGGAGATGGGAAGAGGGGGAAATGTGAGTTGCAGGTACAGCCGGCGCACCCTCGCGCTCTGCCTCTCGCCCGTGTGCATCCAGCACGCCACCTCTGCGAAGGAGGAAAGGGGGAGGAGAAAGGGAGGTGTGGGGAGTGGCGGAGAGGAGTGGAACACAAGGGCCCAGACTGCTCCTCCTGCCGCAGCAGCGCCTGCAGGTACAGCCGGTGCACCCGCGCACTTTGCCGCTCGCCTGTGTGCATCCAGCATGCCACCTCTGGAGAGAGGGGAAGGGGAGGAGATGGCATTTGAGGTGAGAAAAGTTAACGGGTTTTGGAGAGACATGGACGATGACGTGGATGATGACGTGGATGATGACGTGGATCCCTTTGTATAAAAAATGCGGTGGTTCTGAGACTCTGATGTAAATGAATGATGAATATTACCTAGCCATCCGCCAACCAAGCAGCATAAAGCGATGTAGACCATAGCGAGGACAAACTGCCACATGCACATCCATACACATCACATGCACGTTACATGCACACACATGCACATCACATACAATTGCACATCAGATCAGATGCTCATCACACACAAATGCACATCACATGCACACGGCATGCACATCATATACACATCACACACACACCACATGCACACAATGTGAAAACATTAGCACAGTAGAGACGGAGAGAGCGAGGCAAGCAAGAAAGCAACGTAACCAGGCACATTGTCCGCCTTACAAGCCCACTCGCCGCTGTATGATACACCCACACGTACTCGTCTTCCTACAGCATACCCCTCCCATCCTGGTCTTCTCCTCATGCCCCTCCCCTCATGCCCCTCTCCTCATGCCCCTCTCCTCATGCCCCTCTCCTCATGCCCCTCTCCTCATGCCCCTCTCCTCATGCCCCTCTCCTCATGCCCCTCTCCTCATGCCCCTCTCCTCATGCCCCTCTCCTCATGCCCCTCTCCTCATGCCCCTCCCCTCACGCCCTCCCCATAATCATGCCCCTCCCGCTGACGCCTCTCACCGTGTTCACGCCGGAAAGGTCGTTCGTGCGGAACAAGTCGACCATTCTCCCCAGGAACTGGACGATAACAGCAGAAGTCATTTCTGAGTCCCCGATAATCCCCTCCCCTCATGCCGCCTTCATCCATGCTTCCCTCACGCGCCTCCCCCTGACGCCCCTCACCGTATTCACGCCGGAAAGGTCGTTCGTGCGGAACAAGTCGACCATTCTCCCCAGAAACTGGACGATAACAGCAGAAGTCATTTCTGAGTCCCCAATAATCCCCTCCCCTCATGCCGCCTTCATCCATGCTTCCCTCACGCGCCTCCCCCTGACGCCCCTCACCGTATTCACGCCGGAAAGGTCGTTCGTGCGGAACAAGTCGACCATTCTCCCCAGAAACTGGACGATAACAGCAGAAGTCATTTCTGAGTCCCCAATAATCCCCTCCCCTCATGCCGCCTTCATCCATGCTTCCCTCACGCGCCTCCCCCTGACGCCCCTCACCGTATTCACGCCGGAAAGGTCGTTCGTGCGGAACAAGTCGACCATTCTCCCCAGAAACTGGACGATAACAGCAGAAGTCATTTCTGAGTCCCCAATAATCCCCTCCCCTCATGCCGCCTTCATCCATGCTTCCCTCACGCGCCTCCCCCTGACGCCTCTCACCGTATTCACGCCGGAAAGGTCGTTCGTGCGGAACAAGTCGACCATTCTCCCCAGGAACTGGACGATAACAGCAGAAGTCATTTCTGAGTCCCCAATAATCCCCTCCCCTCATGCCGCCTTCATCCATGCTTCCCGCACGCGCCTCCCCCTGACGCCCCTCACCGTGTTCACGCCGGACAGGTCGTTCGTGCCGAACGAGTCCACCATTTTCCCCAGGAACAGGAACGAGATCGGCAGCGCGGCGCCGTGAAGCACGGCGCCGAGCGTGCCGACCGCCATGAGCGCCACGTCCGTACGGTCCGCGTAGGAGAAGAGCCGCCAGTACGCCACCGCCGGCTTCTTCTCCTTCTTCTCCTTCAGCTCCTCCTCTTCTGTCTCATCCTTTTCATTCTTCTCGGTCGCCTCCGTCTCCCTCTTCGGTGTCTCGGAGACGGCGACGGGCGAGTCGCCTACCATTTTCTCCTCAAGAAGTAACGGCTTTCCGCCGTGTGGAAGCCCAGAATGATCCGTGCTTTCCAGAATCCCCGCGTCTGGGTTCCCAGGATGGATCGTTGCCGCAGGGTGATCCGATCCCCCTCCCTGTCGCGTCTTGGATCCGTCCGTTTCCCCCATTTGTTCTGAATCCAAGTCTATCAATAACTTAAAAGCCTTAGTGCTACCACTCAGCTTGAATAGCCCAGATACCCAGAACGGGCGTTATTACTCTAACATCATAAACTGAACCAAAATACGCGAACTGCGATTTTTGGGCTTATCACATCATTGACCATTGAGCATTTGCTTACTACGTTCTACAACGGCACGAAGGCAACGGGCTGTGTACTGCTCACCAATTTCCGCAGAATCATAGACCAGAAACTAGAGATGGCATGAGATAACGAGATAATGGCTGTCGTGTTGTTTATGGGGAATTTGTATTGTTCTGTTTGGGGGCCCTGAGCTGGCACGTCAGGTTGACGCGGGCGCGTGTGATCTTTGGTTTCTGGTCAAAGTTCGAACTCAAACCGTTTTGCACCGTGGCGGAAAGTCTTTTAATTGTATTTTACCGTGTAGAACCTTTCTAAAAGTTCGAACTTTGGGAAGTTCGAAAAAAGATCACACGCGCCCTAACACGGCAGGGGGAGAGCAGTGTACCCGGCAACATCCTGCTGGGTTCGGGTTCGCCAACACGGCGACGGTCGCCAGTTGCACTCGCCTCCTGCCACCTCCGTGGAAGCGACGACGAAAGGACACTACGAGTTGTGGTGGGCAACCCTCGCTGCCCAGAAGTCGTAAACGTTTGCATGGACGATTATATATATACGTGGCAAGGTGGTTGTCTGTCTCACCTTGGTCATTCACCTTTCAAAAGAACATTCAAAAGGTGATGGACACGGGGGCTGGGAAAACATGAATAAACAAACAGCAGCTTCGCTGACGCCAGGGTGACGTTGCACTCTTCGCAACCGTCTATGATTGGTTCAGTATATCGTCAGCATGGATTGCTGACACCACCTATGCATACATGATGAGATTGACGAATCACTGAACTCTTTGTGTATAAGAAGAAATATTAATGGAGACTCAGAGAATGACATACGTTTCAAACATAGTGAAGCCCATCATATCGAGTATGTAGGAATCCTCCTTGTCCATCCGTATCACAAAAGATACAAAACTTCACGTGAAAAAGCAACCACCCATCAACTGTCCCGCGTGCCATGCGACCAGTGGCAAGGGATCATACGTTACTCCGTTTCTTTCGTTTGTGGGCCGACACCATGCGACAGAAAACCACAGACGAGTTGGAAATTGTACTCGCGAAACATCGTTGTCTTTGAAGGGACTTGGGAAAAGATCATACAGGGGCCGAACAGTGCCAGAGGGGTGATCAACCAGGGGCCGAGAGGCCCGAAACTTACCAAACCACTGCGCGACGAGGGACTAACAGGGGGTCTTTGTTTATTGCACATAGTTATGTTACTAGTGACATGTACCGGCTCGCATTTTCGCTCGCGTGTCGTTTAGCGAGCCGACTCTACTAGGAACTCTAGGGCAGCCAGAAAAAACTAAAACTCATAGGGAACCTGGATGTAATTTCGGGATGGATCAACCCTAAATAAGGGGCCCTCCCTGATATTTAGGGTTGATGCCTCCCGAGCGCATCCGTTTCCGAATGGGTAATATTTTTTTTTCTTGTGCATTTCCGATCGGGTAGGGTGATATGTATCACCCACAATATATTGTTGTTACGTACTCACGATTTCACACCCCGAATTTTAATTCCAGAAGAAGGCGACGCGCGCGTTGTAGTAGACGGCGGTCAAAACCCTAAAAAAACAATGAACACGAAATTCGGTTCGTTTTAGCAATTTTCTTTTACTCATGGTTCGGCTTGTTCGCCGAGTCGTTTGGTCAGCTCCGGGTTGAAATCCTACGGTCGAGATTTACCGGCCCTACTTTGAACACCCCTCTGGCACTGTTCGGCCCTAATACGATCTTTTCCCAAGGGACTTCAAGAATGACTTGCTTTACACTGCAACATTTTCGTCAAGTGCGTATAGCACGCTGATTCGCGAAAGAATCTGCTTGTGGTTGTGTGTTGGTTGCCTGCGCGTTCCGCAAAAGCTTCTACGAATCTAAGCGGGTTACCCGAGACAAATCCTTGTTGGAGCATTGCTGCTTGGTCCTTATTCGGACTGAAATCAGCCAAGCAGCTTCGATGTTTGAAATGAATGCTGCAAGCATGCGGACATATGGAGACATTGCCCCTTTCACACCGACCACCGACCATGGGGGGCGGGCGGGGGAAAGGAGGTGTAGCCATTACGTACAAAAAACAAGACTTCAGTCACTCTGGTTCATGGAGACTCGGCGGCTCGCTCGGGTGGTAAGTAACGGCGGATGCGGCGGCGATAACCATCACAGACTTACACTTCGGCTGCAATACCCTCGCGGCCTCGCCCTTGCAGCCACATCGTACCGTACAAATGCCCGCGATGTATATAGGTTGCGAGGCTCCATCACTTACCAATTCAACTTACACCACTTCTAATAGCTATTCAAACCCGAAGTCTCTCAAAACGTTGAATAATCCACCATGAGTCTGTCAAGCGCCGTACTTATGCACAGCGTTGCCGTACGCTGCGCACAAAACTCGACCTGCACAAGCGATCTCCTTTCCCCAGACTCCACGCTCTCGCTCAGCTTCGAGCGCCACGACGCGGCTCGGGAGTGCGCCAACCTAATCGCCAACCCCCATACTACAACTGTCAGAGCGGGGGAGCCGTTCGAGTGCATTGACGCGAGGCCGAGGCGGCTTTCGCCAATGGAAGCTCCGATTTCTCCTACCTGTGATACCAGAATGGGACAGGAAGCAGTATACGCTCACCTCTGCACACCCCGTCGTGATGCACTCGTAGCGTTACCGGATCGGCGAGACTGCGCAGAGGCGTTGTGCCCGACCTGCTCATGGCGAATCGCAGAGCTCGCGTGCGATCCTGTGTGGATTGACGACGCTAGGTCGCGCATTCGGGGGGCGGCGCTTGCTGTCGTCGAGGCGCAACAGGCGTCCGCGGAGTTGAGCGCGCGAGTGGCGGAAGCATCTACGGAGCTTCTGAGCGCGGGAGAAAACCAACTTGGCTCTCAGAGGAGAAATTCCGGCTCTTTCTCAACCAAAGACCGTCAACCTGCGACGTGCCGAAGCCCAAGCTCGCTCGGACGCTGGTGGAGCCGGGAGACGTGTAACGACGGATCAGACGAGCTGTATGGCGGAAACCTCTCAAAAAACCGCAGTTCCGAGTCAGTTGATGCCCTTTTTGCGGACCCTGCTAGTCGGAACAGAAGCCGGCGAGTCTTCCGGAAATCAGCCACAGCAGGATCAGTTAACCTCCAAGACATCGAAGTGACAATTCCACCTCAATTCATTCGGCGAACGAACACCTCGTCGCCGCGAAAAGAGGTGGCGGATGCGACTCTTAGAGAAAGGCGTGGTGGAATAGTTGACATTGTGCGACACGCGTTTATGAAGCCCACATCCACATCGTGATATAATCAATTTAGCTGGTGTGCAATAGGTTCGTATCGCCTATAATGACAATCGTTAATAATCAATTTGATGTGCCTTTGCAGACCCTACGTTCTCCTTTGCATGCTTTGCAATATCGGGTACGACATATACACTAAATGTGATTGTAAGTTGTCATGACCATGGCCTATTGGTCCGGTTTGTGCTGTCTGGGAACCTCGGGATTGGCTGAGTTCACAGATATTATCTGCTTCAGACTATGCTTTAGCGAACCTGTGCGAGCCGTCCATTTCTTTCTCATCCACGGATCACAGAGCTCATCTGGCAGAAGAGGCATCCTTCACAGCGAGCACTTGGACTACAGACCTGAACTTTGTCCCTGCCGAGCCGAGCCGATGTTACCCAGCCAAAACTGTAGATTCCACCAAAGCAAACCAGCAAGCAGAAGCAGCGATTCTGTGCTCCCTGTGGGAGGAAGGGGAAGTTGAATGGTCCAGTTGTTCAGTTGGAAATGGCGTCCCGAAAACGAGGTAATGCAGAACAATGCTGGTTCATACTACTGTGCTGGGGGAGGTGTTTAGGTGGTGAAGCTCTCACGTTCACATATGTGTGCAGCAGGCATTACAACAATCGAGGAGTTGTTGGCTCAAAGTTGTCTGTTCGTCTCTCGGCCAGCCCTCTGAATTTCGCGACCAGCTGGGGTTATCTCGATTGTACAGTCCACCAGAAGACTTCTACGACTATTTGACGCACTCCACACGATATCGTCAACCCATTTCTCGCATTGTTGTTGGATAGAACCCTAAAGTGCCCTGACTGTCAGGTGATCCGCGAAGATCTCTCATCGGAGACGTTGACTTTCGTAAATTTTCTGCTCGTATTCGACATAACCACCAGCATGTCACCGACATGGATAAGCCGAACTGCAATGCTTGCTCCGCCTTTTTTTATTGGCATCTTAACGGGATTCACACTGCTAGCTGTACAGCAGTCAATGTCTACCCACTTAAAATATCAATCTTTTACGGAAGACCAGCAGCAGACGGAATATGTCGATTCGCCTCAAATGCTAAAGAATTCCGTCGACAAGAGTTCGTTTTCGTTTGAAGAACGGTTACCGATTCGTTATAATACGTCAGCGGGAATTGTGGAAGGAAAATTGAACGTCCATTTGATTGCTCATTCCCACGACGATCTCGGATGGGTGAAGACAGTTGATGAGTACTACGTAAGTTCAAGCCGCATATCGTATTTGCTTGTTATCATTCTTGTCACTTACGCTGATTCTGAGATTCTCCTCTACAGCTTGACCAAGTACAATACATCATCGAGACCGTCGTTGATCAGCTCGCAGATAATCCTGACCGTAAATTCATCCAAGTCGAACAGGTGAGCTGTCGCGTCTCTAAGATGCAGTTTTTGCCCTGATTCGCCGTGAAACGAGACATGCATTAACGCGTATGTTTCAACTGATCGTGTGGCAGGGGTTTTTCTTCTTATGGTGGCAGCAGCAGGGTGAGACAATGAGAAATAGAGTCAGGAAGCTTGTCGCTTCTGGTCAACTTGAGTTCATGTGAGTCCACAAGCTATCCAAGGGATGAATTTGGCTAAGCTGAACGTTCATGTCGCCTCAGACGTCACTCCTCATCATGCTTGTGCAAGTCCTCACATCTATGAACCTGTCCTGTAAACTCACACGCCTGACTTTTGTTGTTACATGCCAAATTCCGGCCTCACTTCGTGAGGTGTTGCCTCACATGCACGCGATTCTTCATGTGAGGCCAAAGGTCGAGAATCTGAGACACCACCTGAGCACTTGACGCCAATACGTTTCGGCACATGCGACCGTTTTCTCGCCTTGCCTGCAAGGCCTTACACAGGCGCGCATTTTCTGCCTGGAATAGGCTCTCACGCACTCGTACCCTATCCTGCTCGATTCCCTGCTGTACGGTGTGCTGTGCAGCAATGGTGGGTGGGTGATGCACGATGAGGCGGTGTGCCACTACATGGACATGGTGCACCAGATGTCCATGGGCCATCGTTTCATTATCTCCTCTCCCCCCACTCCCGCCTCCCATGCCCCGTGCCTTGTTTGTGTAGCAACGGCGGGTGGGTGATGCACGATGAGGCGGTGTGCCATTACACGGACATGGTGCACCAGATGTCCATGGGCCATCGCTTCATCCAGGAGCACTTCAACATCACTCCACGCGTCGCATGGCAGATTGACCCCTTCGGCCACTCCGCCACCCAGGCTAGCCTCATCACCTCGCAGGTGAGAAAAGTTTTCCGTTTTCTATGGTTGCCCTCTCCTGTTTAAGAAATCCTCGTTTGCAACAGCTCCTTTTGTAGCAACATCAACTTCCAGCCTCTCATAATATTGGTCGGAGCTGTTATTATCTGTACCCTGTTCTCGTCCGTCAGGCGTTTTGCAATCCTGTCTCGTTTACTCCCGTACCGTCTACCCCTGTGTCACGGCCAGGGTGGCTTGGACGCCTTTATCTTTGGCCGAGCGGACTATAAAGACATGGAGAAGCGCAAAGCAGAGCAGAAGATGGAGTTCGTGTGGCGGGCGGGCACAGGTGCTCCCAGGGATACGCAGGTGTTCACTGGGATTCTGTACGATGGATACTACTCGCCGCAGGAGTTCCGCTACCAGCAGACAGACAGCCCAGAGTACCGATTCAGGGTAAGCAGGTTGGTGGAGAGTGGGTGGGGGGAGGCTGGTTCGTGGCCTGAAGCATCATAGTGAGTCAGGCACAAGCTGTGAGCCTGGGACTCTTGAATCAAGGGAAATGCTACTTACAGGAGTTTTGGTACCATGAGTCAGCTTGATAGCACAATGCCCTGGTTTGGAGTTAGTGTTGGGTCGTTGAGAAGTGGTTGACGTTCTAGCATAAATGCGAAAGAACGCATAGGTGAAGCATGCTATGGCGCATAGGTGTGAGTGAGGCGTGAATGGCATGGTACGGCACCTAATGTCACGTGCCATCACGTCACTCACTGTGTCCCCTCGTCTCCCGTTCCTCTGTGCCCCCTTACCTCTCACTGTGTGCATCGTCAGGACTGGCCGAACGAGAGAAATCCCAACGTGGAGCAATTTGTGAATTTTTTTGTTCAGGAGACATTGAACAGGGTGAGTCAGCATATGCAAGGTGAGTCATCAAGGAGGCCATGGTGAGCGAGCATATACGGGATTTGTTCCATTTCGGTCAGCTGAATGTCAAATGAGTCAAGCACACCAAAAACGCCGTATGAAGAGTTTCTTCCATGCATGTATGGGGGATCTTTCCACCTTCACCATCCTTCCATTGTCACCCCTCTTCCCCGTCTCGCCGCTCCCTCTCGCTCCACGTGCTCTCTCTCTCCCTCTTCCTCTCCATCTCCCTCTCTTTCCCCCTTTAGGCGCGGGCGTTCCGCACAAACCACCTGCTGTTCCCCATGGGCGAGGACTTCTCGTTCAACGAGGCCATCATGTGGTTCAAGAACATGGACAAGCTCATTCATTACGTCAACCTGGTCAGTCGGCGTGGCACGGTGTGGTGTGGTGTGGTGTGGTGTGGTAGGGTATGGTATGTGCGGTATCGCTTCACGTGGTTCAAGAACATGGACAAGCTCATTCACTACGTCAACCTGGTCAGTCGTTGTGGCACGGTGCGGTGTGATGCAATGCGGTAGGGTATGGTATGTATGGCACCATTCGTGTGGTTCAAGAACATCGACAAGCTCATTCACTACGTCAACCAGGTTAGCAGTCGACGTAGGGGTGCTGTGGCATGGCATGGTGTGGTATGGTGTGTGAGGTTGACATGCTATGGCATGGTGGTATGGCATGGTTTGGTAGTTGTATATGCTATGTGCGTTACGAGGTTCAAGAACATGGACAGGCTCACTACGTCAACTTGGTCAGTCACCCCTCCATCCCTCCACCCCACCACCCATCCACCCCACCACCCATCCACCCCTCCACCCCGCCACCCCTCCACCCATCCACACCTCCACCCCTCCTCAACTCCACCCATCAACCCATCCACCCATCCACCCGTCCACCCGTCCACCCATCCACCCATCCACCCGTCCACCCGTCCACCCATCCACCCATCCACCCATCCACCCATCCACCCATCCACACCTCCACCCCTCCACCCATCCAACCCTCCAACCGTCCACCCCTCCACCCATCCACCCCTCCACCCGTCCACCCATCCACCCATCCACCCATCCACCCGTCCACCCGTCCACCCGTCCACCCATCCACCCATCCACCCATCCACACCTCCACCCCTCCACCCCTCCACCCATCCAACCCTCCAACCGTCCACCCCTCCACCCATCCACCCATCCACCCATCCACACCTCCACCCATCCACCCATCCACCCCTCCACCCATCCACACCTCCACCCATCCACCCCTCCACCCATCCACACCTCCACCCCTCCTCAACTCCACCCATCAACCCATCCACCCATCCACCCCTCTACCCCTCCACCCATCCACCCCTCCACCCGTCCACCCATCCACCCATCCACCCGTCCACCCGTCCACCCATCCACCCATCCACCCATCCACCCATCCACACCTCCACCCCTCCACCCCTCCACCCATCCAACCCTCCAACCGTCCACCCCTCCACCCATCCACCCCTCCACCCGTCCACCCATCCACCCATCCACCCATCCACCCGTCCACCCGTCCACCCGTCCACCCATCCACCCATCCACACCTCCACCCCTCCACCCCTCCACCCATCCAACCCTCCAACCGTCCACCCCTCCACCCATCCACCCATCCACCCATCCACACCTCCACCCATCCACCCATCCACCCCTCCACCCATCCACACCTCCACCCATCCAACCCTCCATCCATCCACCCCTCCACCCATCCAAACCTCCACCAATCCACCCATCCACCCATCCACCCCTCCACCCATCCGCACCTCCACCCATCCACCCATCCACCCATCCACCCCTCCACCCATCCACACCTCCACCCCTTCACCCATCCACCCATCCACCCCTCCACCCCTCCATCCATCCACCCCTCCATCCATCCACCCCTCCACCCATCCACCCCTCCACCCATCCACACCTCCACCCATCCACCCATCCACCCATCCACACCTCCACCCATCCACACCTCCACCCCTCCACCCATCCACACCAACACCCCTCCACCCATCCACCCATCCACCCCTCCACCCATCCACACCTCCACCCCTCCACCCTTCCACCCATCCACCCCTCCACCCATCCACCCATCCACCGTTCCACCTCTCCACCCATCCACCCCTCCACCCGTCCACACCTCCACACCTCCACCCATCCACCCATCCACCCATCCACCCCTCCACCCATCCAACCCTCCAACCATCCACCCCTCCACCCATCCACAAATCCACCCATCCACACCTCCACCCCTCCACCCATCCACCCCTCCATCCATCCACCCATCCACCCCTCCACCCATCCACACCTCCACCCATCCACCCCTCCACCCCTCCACCCATCCACACCTCCACCCATCCACCCATCCACACCTCCACCCATCCACCCCTCCACCCCTCCACCCATCCACACCTCCACCCATCCACCCATCCACCCATCCACCCATCCACCCATCCACCCATCCACACCTCCACCCCTCCACCCATCCACCCATCCACCCCTCCACCCATCCACCCATCCACACCTCCACCCATCCACCCATCCACCCCTCCACCCATCCACCCATCCACCCATCCACACCTCCACCCATCCACCCATCCACACCTCCAACTATCCACACCTTCACTCCTCCACCCATCCACACCTCCACCCCTCCACCCATCCACCCATCCACACCTCCACTCCTCCACCCTTCCACCCATCCACCCCTCCACCCCACCACCCCTCCACCCATCCACCCCTCCACCCATCCAGCCCTCCACCCATCCACCCCTCCACCCATCCACCCATCCACCCATCCACACCTCCACCCCTCCACCCATCCACCCATCCACCACTCCACCCATCCACCCATCCACCCCTCCACCCATCCACACCTCCACCCATCCACCCCCTGAGTGGAGAAAGACGCACGCGTCCTGCTGCGTCCAGACGCAGAGACGCAGGACGCGCGTCCAGACGCAGGACGCACCCCGTATATTTTTTTCGGGCTGACCGGAAAAATTTTTGTTGCCCCAGCGCGAGATTGACTAACGATTTCGACGCGACTGTCAATTTCGCGTCATGTCGACCCCCCCTAACCCATTTCGACCATCAAAAACACCCTAGAGGGTTTACCAAGACAATTCTCCTTCGTAAACCCTAAACCCTGAAAATTTGAAGAGGACGATTTTGCCTCAAATGTGTGCATCGTCCTTTCCCCCCCCCCCCCCCCTTCCCATACCCTACAACATCATTTTTCGGCTGCCCGGGGGTTTTTTTTGCCCTGCCCGGGCATGCGTCTTTTCATGCGTCCTAAAGGCCCTCCTCTAGCGTCCTGCGTCTAAGACGCTGCGTCTGGACGCATGCGTCCAGGACGCAGGACGCGTCTTTCTCCACCCAGTCCACCCCTCCACCCATCCACACCTCCACCCTTCCACCCATCCACCCATCCACCCACCCATCCACCCCTCCACCCATCCACCCATCCACCCCTCCACCCATCCACACCTCCACCCCTCCACCCCTCCACCCATCCACCTATCCACCGTTCCGCCTCTCCACCCATCCACCCGTCCACCCTTCCACCCCTCCACCCCTCCACACCTCCAACCATCCACCCATCCACCCCTCCACCCCACCACCCCTCCACCCATCCACACCTCCACCCATCCACCCTTCCACCCATCCACCCTTCCACCCCTTCACCCCTCCAAACCTCCATCCCTCCACCCATCCACCCATCCACCCCTCCACCCCTCCACACCTCCACCCATCCACCCTTCCACTCATCCACCACTCTATGCCTCCACCCCTCCACCCATCCATCCCTCCACGCATCCACCCCTCCACCCATCCACCCATCCACCTATCCACACCTCCACCCATCCACACCTCCACCCCTCCACCCATCCACCCATCCACCCCTCCACCCATCCACACCTCCACCCATCCACCCCTTCACCCATCCACTCCTCCACCCATCCACACCTCCACCCATCCACCCATCCACCCCTCCACCCATCCACACCTCCACCCCTCCACCCATCCACCCATCCACCCATCCACCTCTCCACCCCACCACCCCTCCACCCATCCACCCCTCCACCCATCCACCCTTCCACCCATCCACCCTTCCACCTACGTTGGCAGATACGCGTATCACGTATAATACGCTAGCGTATTATACGCTGGGTATATACGCCATACGCCATGGCTGGCGTACTGCTGATACGCTAAAATACGCTGGGCGGGCAGGAAAAAACTTTTTCCCGGGCAGATTTCGCCCTCGAACTGTAGGGAGTAGGGGTCGCCATGGCGAGGAAGTACTAAAGCTAGGAGAGTTTGAGCTCGACGAGAGTCGGACGAAATGCAAGATGAGAAATGCGGGATTGAATGAAAGAGGAGCTGTTTAGGGATTGAGATGTTCGAACGAGTGAAAGGGGGGAGGTTGGGTTTGGGAGGTTGAGAGGGGTGGTGTGTGGTTGGGGATGTGGGAGGGGTTGAATTTTGAATTTCGAATTGCAGACAGGAGTTGGGCTCTGTGCGAGGTCGAGGGTTCAATTCTCGCTGTCGCAAATTATTGCAATTTTTTATGGAGTTTTTTTTTTTTTTTTTTTTTTTTTTTTTTTACCGGGCTGCCCCGGCGTATTTTAGGATTTCCAGGCGTATTAGCGTATTGCGTACATACGCTAGCGTATATACGCAATACGCCCACCCCCCAAGGGCGTATCTGACAACGTAGCCTTCCACCCCTTCACCCCTCCAACCCTCCAACCCTCCATCCCTCCACCCATCCACCCATCCACCCCTCCACCCCTCCACACCTCCAACCATTCACCCTTCCACCCATCCACCTGTCCACGCCTCTTAGAGGCGCCCCTCTCCTCTGACTGAGAGGCAGGCGCCTCTCTCCTCTGAGTGAGAGGCAGGCGCCTCTCTCCTCTGAGTGAGAGGCAGGCGCCTCTCTCCTCTGAGTGAGAGGCAGGCGCCTCTCTCCTCTGAGTGAGAGGCAGGCGCCCCTCCTCTGAGTGGGAGGCAGGCGCCTCTCCTCTGAGTGAGAGGCAGGCGCCTCTCTCCTCTGAGTGAGAGGCAGGCGCCTCTCTCCTCTGAGTGAGAGGCAGGCGCCTCTCTCCTCTGAGTGAGAGGCAGGCGCCTCTCTCCTCTGAGTGAGAGGCAGGCGCCTCTCTCCTCTGAGTGAGAGGCAGGCGCCTCTCTCCTCTGAGTGAGAGGCAGGCGCCTCTCTCCTCTGAGTGAGAGGCAGGCGCCTCTTTCCTCTGAGTGAGAGGCAGGCGCCTCTCTCCTCTGAGTGAGAGGCAGGCGCCCCTCTCCTCTGAGTGAGAGGCAAACGCCTCTCTCCTTTGAGTGAGAGG